CAGCAATCCTATGGTACAGAAATGACCTGGGAACCAAGCTTGAATTACCTGAGTGATGCACATTCATACTCCTCACACATATCTTTCTGTTAATGACCCAGTGGAAATACTTTTTATACTCCAGTACACGGTGAAATATATGTGAAATTTACAACGTTGGACCACACACATACACATGGAATATAACATAGCCTCTGCAAACTGATTGTGCAAAGAAAGGCATTACCAAAAAAAGTAAATGGAAACTGGGGCCCAAAAAGATTAGCAACAGAAAAAATTTTGATAGATAAGTAGGTAGGTAGATAGAAATACATACATACATACATACATACCTATATATCTATATATATAGATATATAGATATATATATAGTAGAGGTGATAGATCAATAGATGATAGATCGATAGACAAGTGATAGAGAGATGATAGATGGTAGAGATGGCAGGTAAATTGATAGGTAAATGATAGATTTATTGATTGATTGACTGATGGAGATACACAGCTAGATGTAGAAACCTCTGTGTGTACCAGGTATGAGCCAGGGGAGACGCCAGCACCCAAAGAACCATGAGGATAGACTGCCTCAGCCTGCAGAGAAGCTGACTCTGTCTCTCACTTTACATGTCAAACCCAGTAACACCTTCAAGGAAACCCCCTCAGGACAGACCCCCTTTATGTTTTTTTTTATCCGAGGGACCCTCCAAAGTGCTTTATCAGCTGGAAGTCCAGAAATGCTGCATGGGGGTCTCTATCGGAGTAAAGGCTGAATGAGTCTAGATTCAAACCCCATCCCTGTGCCCCCTCTTCCATCTCCATTTTCATTTCTCCTTAAGATAAAATTTCCATTAAGGATGCCCTGCTTTTGCCTTCTTGTTTCCCTTGAAATGTTAGACTTGGGACAGAATTGTTTCATGGGTGGAAAACAGCAAAGAACTTTAAAGTGTTTTGCAATGTGAACCTTGGGTAAACTTTCCTCAGAAGGCATTGGAAAGCCAGGTACTTTCTGAGCTAAAAAGTCAAGGGAGGAGAAATAAAGGAAGTGAAAGGTGATCCGAGGCAGGGTGGCGGATGAGGAGCCTCGCTGGTCCCCTGGAACTACCAGGACACGACTGGGCGCTGGAGGCTTCCCGCCCAACATCAGTCTTCTCTCCCCCAGACCCCAAGTTAGGATAATGGTCTGGGGAGGGGATGGTATAAAGAGAACCCACTGGGATGTGCCTAGACTTCAAACTTTTCAGCATCAGACACACTGTTTTAAAAATGAGATATACTGGCCAGGTGCTGTGGCTCATGCCTGTAATCCCAGCACTTTGGGAGGCTGAGGTGGGTGGATTACCTGAGGTCAGTAGATCACCTGAGGTCAGTAGTTCAAGACCACCCTGGCCAACATGGTGAAACCCCGTCTCTACTAAAAATACAAAAAAAAATTAGCCAGGTGTGGTAGCAGTTGCCTGTAATAATCCCAGCTACTCAGGAGGCTGAGGCAGGAAGATCTCTCTTGGACCCGGGAGGCAGAGGTTGCAGTGAGCTGAGATCACACCACTGCCACTGTACTCTAGCGTGGGCAACAAGAACAAAAATCTGTCTCAAAAAAAAAAAAAAAAAGAGAAGATGCCCTGACAAATAACAAGGCTGAAGTGACTCTACACTTTCCTCTTCCCTGAGTCTCATGTGTTTCCCTGAGAGACAAAAGGTAAGATCAGTGAGGCAAATACAATGGGCACAGGCTCTTCATCGTGGAGTTCTAGGACAAGGGAAACTCCCTGATTTCTGGGAAAGGCATGTTTTTAGAAATGAAAAGGAATAGTAACTGACACTGTGGGTGGAAACTGTACAAAGTTATACAACGATTCAAAGGAGATTTAGATGAATTTTTAAAAAATTGACTAGGCCGGGTGTGGTGGCTCATGCCTATAATCCCAGCACTTTGGGAGACCGAGGCGAGTGGATCATGAGGTCAAGAGATTGAGACCATCCTGGTCAACATGGTGAAACCCCATCTCTACTAAAAATACAAAAAATAGCTGGGCATGGTGGCGCATGCCTGTAGTCCCAGCTACTCAGGAGGCTGAGGCAGGAGAATTGCTTGAACCCAGGAGGCGGAGGTTGTGGTGAGCCAAGATGGCGCCATTGCACTCCAGCCTGGGTAACAAGAGTGAAACTCCATCTCAAAAAAAGACTGACTAATGATTGGCTGGATAGAAAGCAGCATGAAAAAAAAATAAAGATGAGTGTTGTAAATATCAATGTGGCCCCTGGGGAATGAGGGCTGCGCTAGGAAAATGAGAAGATCTGGGTGCTGACCTTGGCTTTTCCACTAATTTGCTATCTGACCTTGCTTAAGGAATTCAGTGCCTGTGGTTTTCAGTTGTAAAATGAGCCGGTAGGGCTCTATTTATTTCACAGGATTAGGAAGTGTAACCTAGATAATTTATATACATAAGAGTACAAGATGCTGTAAGGCTTCTATGAATTCTCAGAGTCTGTCTTCAGGCCTGGCATGGTGACTCACGCCTATAATCCCAGCACTTTGGGAGGCAAAGGCAGGAGGATCACTTGAGGCCAGGAGTTTAAGACCAGCCTGGGCAAAAGAGCAAGACCTTCATCTCTACAAAAAATTTCTAACAATTAGCTGGGTGTGGCGGTATGTACTGGTAGCCCCCCAACTTCTCAGGAGGCTGAGGTGGGAGGATTGCTTGGACCTGCAAAGAGTTGAGGTTGTAATGAATTGTGATTGCACCACTGCACTCTGGCCTGGCAACATAGTGCGACCCTGTTTTAAAGCAAAAAAGCAATCTACCTTGAAATGTAGCTCTTCAAACATTCTTGGAAGACGGTGCCAAAAAAAAAAAAAAAAAAAATTCAAAAGCTTATAAGAGGAAGAAATAGCTATCAGTTTAAAAAACAAATTACCTTCTTATTCTGAAAAAGAAAAAATCCTTCATCTAAATAGGCCCTCCCTCAGGCAGGGTGCAGTGGCTTATGCCTGTAATCCCAGCACTCTGGCAGGCTGAGGCAGGTGGATTACCCAAAGTTAAGAGTTCTAGACCAGCCTGGGCAACATTGTGAGACCTGTCTCTACTAAAAATACAAAAATTAGCCAGGCACGGTGGTAGGTGTCTGTAGTCCCAGCTACCACAGGCTGAGGCAGGGGAATTGCTTGAACCTGGGAGGGGAAGTTGCAGTGAGCCAGGATCACACCACTACACTCCAGACTGAGTGTTAGACTAAGACTGTCCCCAAATAAAATAAAAAATAAATAATAGTCATAAAATAAATGGGCCCTTCACCCTTGCTTCAACTGATGCCCATCGAGAAGAAGAAAACACTCATTTTCCAGGAAAACAGCATAGCACCTAGCAGAGCGCCCGTTATTCGAGGTACAGCCAACCTGCCGGGTAACAGGAGAAGCCGCTCTCTGGCCCTCACCTTGGCAGGCTGCGCCTCTCCTTCCTGCCACACATACCCCATGGTGAGGAAGCTCAGGACCAGGTGGGCCAGGCGCTGCTCCCGGTGACCCTTCAGGAACTGGCAGCTCAGCAGGGGCATCTGTTCGAGGAGGTCCAAATACCGTCAGAGGAGGAATGGGAACGGGGATAGGGGAGGGAGCGGAGACTGGGGACCTGGGATGTGAAGGGGCCTTTGGGTGCAAGGCAATGGGTTATATTTTAATGAAGGAACGAAGAGCCTGCACACACACCCATTTATCCCCAGACCCAGGACCCTGCAGTATGGGAGGTGGTCCACACGACTTGGCTCAGGAAGTATCTAACCACCCACCCGAGCCCACAGCTTGTCCCCATGGCTGTGCCAGCCTCCCGTCTCCATCCCGAATCCCCCGCTTGGCTGGAATGTTGTAAGATGCTTAACTCGCAGGACGGAGCGAACCTTTTCCCAGATGTCTCGCGTGGCAGCTTTTACGAGCCTGTTTTATCCAAACGCTGTGGCCTGCTTGCCATCGCTGATCCTGCGACAGCCCTGTGCGATGGGTGTTCCCCTCTCCATCAGACCGGAGCAGAACACAACCCCTGACCCTGCCTGGGGCGTCCCACCCCACCTCCGCCCGTCCTCCAGGGCCACAGCCTGGGTGCCACGCAGCCTCACTGTGACGCGTAAGGGCGGTAACGTGGTTGAAAGCAACACCCGGCACAGAAGTTACTCAATAGTGACAGTCCTGCCAAACCAAAAATCGGCAGCTTCTCCGGGGCCTTGCCTGACAGCAGCAGCCTCTGAGCTGGGCTTCTAGGCGCGCCCCCTCTGCTCGCCTCTTTGTCCCGCCCCAGCCCACTCCCCAGCTCTAGACACTGCCTGATCTTGACTTCCCGGGTGGGCACCTCCCCGGTGACCCCCTCCCGGGTCCGAAGCGCCAGAAGGGAGGGCCGCGGGGGGTGTTTTCTGTGTCCATTTCAGCTCCAGGCACTGCCACGTGGGCGCGGAGCTGCTCTCCGGCGCAGGCCCGGGGTTGAAGTTGGGGGACTCTCTGCGGTGGATCCTTCACCCGCCTTCGGCCAGGGGACAGTCGCTCCCCATGGCCAGACTGCGGGCTTCTGCCTCCCAAAAATGGGCTCTCATTTACCATCCCTATCGGTTCAAAAACACAGGTAGAATGAACAAGAGTTGGTGTTTGATAGCACAACAGGGGGCTACATTGTACATTTAAAAATAACTGAAAGTGTAATTGGATTGTAACACAAAGAAAGGATAAATCCTTGAGGTAATGAACACCCCGTTTACCTTGATGTGATTATTCAACGTTGCATGCCTGTATCAAAACATCTCATGTACCCCATAAATGTATACACCCACCATGTACCCACAAAAATTAAAAATAAAAATAAAATTGACTTTCAGAATCACAACTAGAATGTGCTCTATGCTTGCAGGGGAGGCACAGCTGGAGGGAGGACTGTTGAGGTGTTGCTTTTGTTTTGTTTTGCTTTGTTAGGCTTTGTTTTAGAAACAGAGTTTTGCTCTGTTGCCCAGGCTGGAGTGCAGTAGAGGAATCATAGCTTAGTGCAGCATTGAACACCTGGGCTCAAGCAATCCTCCTGCCTCAGCCTCCTGAGTACCTGGGACTACAGGCATGTGCCGCTGCATCTGGCTAATTTTAAAACTGTTTGTGGGGATGGGGGCCTTACTATGTTGCCCAGGCTAGTCTCAAACTCAAACTTCTCAGGTGGAGCAATCCTTTCACCTTGGCCTCCCAAAGTGCTGGGCTTACAGGTGTGAGTCATTGTGCCCGGCCTTGAGATGTTGCTTTTTAACAGGAATCAGATGAGCAGTAAAACAGCAGTTTTTATTAAGTACTTTTTAAATTTATTGACAATCTCTTAGGCAAAACCGGATCTTTCATTGTTTTCCCAGGACTGAGTGAACTTATTTCGTAGGTGTCTTGCATGGCAACTTTTACAAGCCTGTCTTGTCCAAACACCAGATATTTTACTGTTTTCATTAGCATTTTTGGTTTATTCTTGAGATTGAGCATTTTTGCCTGTTTATCATCAATTCAAATATCTTTCAGTATCTTAACTATTTATATGATTTGCCCATCCTTCCCCGTCAATCATTCATCTTACTGATCTCATAGAATACATTTTGTATTATGGATCTTAATCTTTAATACATGTTCTAAAATTTTTTCAGTTTATTGTTTGTTGTTTAATAATTTATTTTGAACATTATATAATTATTTTTATTATGGCTAGACCGATTGGAAAGATATACTGTTAGAAAATTATTAATACTTTTCTCACAAATTAATAAAAAAATATTGATGACATTTTATTCCTAAGTCAATTTATTCTGAATTGTAAATGACTTTGAGGACATGAGCACAAAATTATTTGTCTCTGATGACTGGTGTATTAAAAGTCTATGAATTAGTAGAAATAATATTGAGCTAAAACCAGAAATACTATTTTGTGGGTTTCCATCACAATGGAAAGGTACTCTATCTTGAATGCTTTTCTTAATGCTACTCAACTAACATTTTGAAAGTCTCTGACCTCAGTTTGGGAGGGCCAGATATGTGATTTTCCCTCTTAAAACAAAAATGCAGTTTGAGGAGCGTCTTTAGATGCACAGCTGGAGGGAGGACTGTTGAGGTGTTGCTTTTGTTTTGTTTTGCTTTGTTAGGCTTTGTTTTAGAAACAGAGTTTTGCTCTGTTGCCCAG